TTTTGCTTCACACCTATATGCACATGTGGAAACTCTTTCTCTCCAATATACTAGGAACTCCAGGTAAAGACCAACTAAGATTATCTTTAATTATGCAGAGTCTTCTGCTCCTACTGTGCCAGGAAGCAGCACTTCCACCACTTATATATATAGCAGACGTATGTTTTAGTATGCATAGTGGGACTAGATCTAGATGTGCATTTTTTAATTGATAAAACCATTACAAAGCCACTGAAAGCTAGTACTTGTTGAATCATTCCATATGCACAAATTTCCAGGTAAATCTTTCAATTTTCAGCTTAATTAGAATGTAATTAATTAATTAATTAATTAAAGTGGGCGGAGCCACAGCGTAATTAAATTTATTGCCTTCCTGTACTTGTTGAACCCAACTATGGTAGGTTTACACAAGGAATTCTACCTGTAGCAATTTAAAAGCATTTTTCTGCTAGTGTGCATAATCTTCCATTTCTACTTTGGGCGCACACATGTGGTGCTTAGAGCCAATAAAACACACGACATAACCATGGCCTTGCGCTCACTAGCAAATAATGTGATGCATCCCAGATGCCTGCTTTTCCATCTCCAATCTGCAGTTTCACCTTATATGGTCTTCTGGGCACGAATTTTATCCCGTGGAAAATGCATTGCTGGCAAATCCAATGAACCAATAACGTTGGAGATGAAGCTATTCAAGTAGTATAAACAAAATCACTTGGCAATGCTAGCAATTTCAGTGGAGTCGGTCTGTCCATCAGGAGTGTCTCCTCCATACACCATCAGTCGGTCGCCAGGGAGGACGGCCGCGAAACAGCCGCTCCGTTGCACCCTCATGCGACTCACGGGGTTCCAACTGTTGGTTCTGTGATCGTACTCCCTCACCTCGGCCGTGGCGTCAGCGTCAATGTCCGCCCTCCCTCCTCCCACTGCCAGTAGCTTGTGGTGAAACGTGACGAGAGAAGACCTCTGCAGCGGCAGGTTGGTAACCTCTTTCCAAGGCGACTGGCGATCATCGGAACCGAAGACCTTTTTGGCGAGTGAGGACGCGGCAGATTCTGGGTGTGACTGCAAGAGCCTTGTTAACTCGACTTTTAGCACTGACTTCGATGCCAGTCCTGGATCCTTGTAGCCTCCACCGACGTACACATTTCCATCGTAGATAGCTGCTGTTGCTCTAGTGCACACGAATGGGAGCCCGGCTAGTTTGGACCACTGCTGATTCGGAATATTCATCACCTCGACTGGTCCCTTCATTTCATCAGGGCCACCTCCGCCAGCCACTATCAGTGAGACGTTTGTAGACACCACGGCCGGGTGGAGATGGTAGTACTTCATCTTTGGAAACTGCTCTCCCCAGATCGGCCGCGAGGCACCTGATTCGTCGTGCGACAGACTCAATGGTTTCTTTGTTGCTTTTTCGTGCTTCCCTCCGATGGCTGTGAGGAATCCTTTGACAATTGCAATGGAAAAGCTTTTTCTTCCGTCGGGGCACTCTGGAAGAATGCTCCACTGCTCAGTCGTCGAGTCGTACATTGCAATTTTAGCCTGCGAAGTGCTGTCACAAAAGTATACCTTCCCTTTACTGACAGCTACAGACTGTCCACTGATGGTCACTGGTGCCCTTAGTCCTTCCCTCCACTGCAGTTTAAGGCCGGACCCAGTCCTCTGGTTTTCCTTCTGCATATCTTCCAGTTCACGTTGTAATGACGCATTTTGCTCGCGCAACTGCTCAGTCTCTGCCTCGGCCTCTCGCATTTTCCCGTTCACCTCCTCCAACTCTCCGTCTCTCTCGAGAAGGAGAGCATCTTTATGAATGCTCTGCTGAACAAGTTCTTCGTTTTGTGACTGGAGCTGAGCTACTTCTTGTTGAAGACTAATTGATTCCCCACTTCCTCCCACATCCCTTGAATTAGATGATAGTTCATTCGTGGTGCTCTCCACGTATGGTGGGCTGTCCCGCAAGGCAATTAGCCGTGAGCACAGTTCATCGGCTGTGGGTCGCTGACTTTCCCTGTCCTTGAGGCAGTTCAGGGCTACCTCCAGGAGAGGGTGTGAGGGAGAGATGAGATCCAGGTGGTTTTTACGACGCTCTCTCTCTGGTTTCACGACCAGTACTTCCCCGGACCCTATTTGAGCGCTGCGTGTGCGAGGGCCTGGGTCGGGGAACCTACTTGTTAGGATCTGGACGAGGAGCACACCGCAGGAGAAAATGTCCAGTTTAGCTGTATAGGTTGGAGGTTCTGCCAGTGCCTCGGGAGACATGTAGACTGGAGTCCCTGGAACCTGCGTTAGGTTTGGGTTAGTATCCAAAAACCTGGCCATGCCGAAGTCGGTAACTTTGGCTCGCCTGCTGCCGATCAGGAGGACGTTGTTGCTGCTGAGGTCGCGGTGCAGCACCTCGTGGCGATGGAGGTAGGAGAGGGCCTGTGCCACGTCGTGGCCAATGTCTACCTGCATGTGGAGAGGAAGCGGAATTGCCCGCCGCTCCAGGAAGCTCGTGAGGCTCTCGTCCATCAGCTCCATGAACAGGACGGGTCCGAACTCGCGGTGTGCACAAGAGCCCAGGTACTGGATGACGTTGGGGTGTCGCAGGTTGCTCAAGAACCGGATCTCAAGCTGGAAGCGCTCCAGGATGCGGTGGCCGGCGAGAATCTGATGCAGGACTTTTGCGGCGCAGACGAGCTGGTCGCACTTTGCCTTGTATACGGCTCCGTACGAACCCATCCCCAGGGAGTTCTCCTCCGACTTTACGAGCTGAACGTTGCTGAAACCGAAAGACCCCTCAATTCGTAGCTGATGATCCATCATCTACGAAACGGCACCGACTTAGTCGCAACTTCAACAGAACAAATCACTACTGGGGATCCTTTCGTAATTAATAATTAACGTAACGTTACTGTAAACGTAATTCGCAACGTCTGGCCCCGCGGGGCGTTTCGCATAAGTCACCATCGTGAAGAAAATTGATGAATACAAAATGAAAATGCAGCAATCTAATCGTGATGATGAAATTTCTTGATAAAGGGGTCAAAATGAAAATGAAGTGCTCTCACACAAAAAAGGCTTACAGGTCTGATAAGGTTTACACATCCGATAATTGGTTGAGAAAGAATGAATAACATGTTGTTGTTGCAGTGGAAAACAGGTATAAATGAAGTTATAGATGACGTAGATAATGGCTCTTGTTATGATGTAATCATCAGGTAGACAGTTCGTCTTCTGACTGGGCTTCATCTGAATGGAGAGAGACAAGGGAAATAATATGACGTGATGTACAGTGCAAAACTTTTGCGGCGGCCACAAAAAATTTTCCATCTCATTGGGCAGGGACCATTTTTTGTACACCGGCCCATGAAAGTTTTGAAATTGATTGCGTCGAGATGGATGGAAAGATTTGGCAAAGTTTAGGTGGTAAAATGAGGAATGCTGTATTAGTATATCATAGCCCCATACATCTATGATGCTAGGTACCATGCCAATCCCTATACTACTGTACTTAGTGATATAGTGTGATGTAATGTTTGGGTACTCACCAATGGACTGTGACTGTGAGGGTCGCACATACGAAGCAGCCAGAGCCCTGCATGTTGTAGAGAGCTTCTGCATCCATCTGGAAGAGAGGGAGGGAGTAGCAAGATATCAGTGTTTCATTGTATAAAGATTATGCATTATGGTTATATGGGGAGGTGTTGAAAGGTACTTACGCGAGCATCTGCTCTGAAGTGTCGGTCTGGAAGTAGTACGTTCTCATTCCCTCCTGGACAGCTCTGAAACAACTAGGAGAGAGATGGGATAAGGTTGAGGTGGAGAGAGAGGAGAGAGAGAGAGCAAAAGGTAAGACGTTGATTTCCGTGCCAATTGTCCATGCAATTGAAAATCTTGCACGTAACTTTGAATTACAATGGTCAACCACCACCACTTGCTGACACTACATCAACATCACACCTTTACGTGCACACACACACACCCGTGCGTCCTACTTGAGGTCTGGCATGGAATGCAAACACAGAAGACCTGCCATCCTCGGCCGCCACAGGCAGCTAGTTTCACTGAAACATTCCTACCCCAGCTCCCAGTAGTTGGATAACGCTCACTCCTGGCCATATGAACCGCATGATGTCACGCTCGGACACATACCTATACAACTACACAGGCATTTCCTGACCTAACAAACACAAGCACAAGTGCTTCCCTGTTGCTTATGTGTTAGATCCTTACATGGACACATTGACAGGTGACAGAGTACAATAATATAGTGGTGGCACATTCCTGGGTGATGTAATGCTCACATCATTGCTTATAAGGAGTATATACTCTGAGTAGAAGTGATACTTCCTAGACGGCCAATACCTAACGCTGTCTGTTTGCTCACTAGGAAGGTGGAGTATGAACCATAAACTGCTCCGTTAATGACATCGTCACTTCCTGTTCCCATTTTGCACCTACCACAATGTTGTCACCACACACTTGCATATTCTCATTAGGTGGTGTCAATACTCAACACACTTCCTGTCAATGCCTCACAAATGATGCAACTAACAACTAATGTCTGTACAAATAGCTGCAGGGTGTGTCAAATGAAAAGGCATCGCAGCTTGTCCTGCAACAAACTGGCTCTGAAACGTAACTAAAAGACCAACATTTTGCACAAAGGACGGCCGAGATTTTAACTTGTTCACAACAGCAGCAGACTTTACGTACAAAGGACACAGAGCAACGCCAAATACGACCGCGACACAAATTGCTGCAACTGGTTGAAGCAACGAAGTTTTGCGGCATGTATGGCCTGCTTTAGAATGAAATACTGCAATAGATGAAGTTCAATATCTGCCAGGCGGACATAAATATATCGTGCACATATGAAGAGCAGTGAAAGGTTACTCCTATAAGGAGACGGAGCTATACATCTGAGACATGGTGATATATAAACCAGGGATGATATATACATAAACCGGGGATGATTGCTGTACACACTAAACAGGTAAAGAAGGAAGGAACTCTATTCATGAGAACTCAAGCGTACATTACAATACAGTGACTGGAAGACCAATGTACTACGCACTGAGCTACACACGACTCATTGACAAAAGCTTGTCTTCTCTCTTATATATATACACAGTAGTTGACTTACTTTTTCCGTTTGGTGTCAGTGGCAGCCTCGATGTTGTAGCCAGTTAGATCAACAATACCGGTTGCACTGACATCCTACAGTGGGGGGAGCGTGACAACATAGAACATTTCACATCTCAAATCAAATACGAAAAACTTAGTTGCATGCAGTAAATGTTGTTTAGCTTGCAGCGTATATACATGTGTATTGGGGTTTGGCTTAAAATTTAGCATGTGACACTGCATAGCAGTAAAAATTGTGAGGGAATAAAAATAAAAAAATTTTCACACTTTGGTGGCACCAATGTTTCCCACTGGAGCTGTACACTGGCACATACAGTACTCACAGAGAAAACACACATTGATGGCTCTGAAACCATGAAATTCAAGAGCGCTTTCACATCAAAGGTTTTGAGAATAATTATCCGGTACGCAGTATATACAATGCTTGCTTTGTATCCATCCAACACTTCCGAGTAGGTAAACTTGGACTTCGTATACTTAATGACCACATTAACAAGGAAAACTGACACTATTTCCTTCCCGAGCCGAGACTTCCTGTGCATCCGTGATTACAGAGCTACAAAGAGACCCCCCCTCACTCTTTCCTCCCACGCTCACATTCAAAATGGATGTGGATGTATGCAACCCAAATAGCCAGGCAATCGTATTATACACCGGCACCACAATGGAGCATTGGGGGAATACAACAAGCGGCTTCTTAGGACGGTATTTTGAAAGATGATTTAAAGGAACACGGGTTCTTTACACGCTCACAAAGGAGGTCTTGTAGTAGTAGAGTTTCCCGGTCTTGAGCACAAACCACCTTCTGCGCCAGTTTTTCGGCGTGAATCCGGAGCCTCCCATTTTGTTCATCCACCCCTCGTGGTCGACGTCTTTCAACTGGAAACAGGGGACGAGGAGAGCGGGGTTGGACTTCTTGCTACTGGTGGCCGGGGAATCCTTGCTGGTGAACTGAGGCTGGGGGTGAAGGAGGGAGGCAGGGGGAGGAGAGAGAGAGCAGATACATGTCGGTTGGTCGCTCATTCTATGACAAGTAAACCCTTTTGATAAGACTACAGACAGTTAGTTGGGTAAGGAAAGGTAGCAGCAATATGCCAGAAATGGCAGGGATTTCAGATAGATGAGTGGGTGGCAGAGACAGAGATAGGGGGAGACATTGTGGGAGAGGAAAATATGAATACTACAGCGTCACTTTGTACTACACTACCACCACATAATTCCCATTCAGAACACCATGTGACCTTTCAGGGGCACTACATACACAATGGCAAAGATCTGTGCTCAACTGGGCATCACTAACTAGGACACTGCCCCCATGCATCCAACACACAGAGGGCAGTAGCTATAGCTGTCCACAGGTGTAGTCTGAGCCTGGGGCACACCTCCCAGCACCATTTCCTGGAAACACACCCAAACAAACAGTCTGGGAGACTACAACACTTCTCACCCTGCCCTGGAGGAAATGGACTCACTCAACACAAACAAAGCAAGCTTCCAAGATCTAGAGCTATACACATGTCAAGCTGGACTAGTGACCTAGGAGAGCTGAACTACCCAGCTATATAGCTCAGCTAACTAGCCATATAGCTGAACTACCCAGCTTGTATATAGCTCAGCTAACTAGCCATATACCTGAACTACCCAGCTTGTATATAGCTCAGCTAACTAGCCATATACCTGAACTACCCAGCTTGTATATAGCTCAGCTAACTAGCCATATAGCTGAACTACCCAGCTTGTATTAGCCATATACCTGAACTACCCAGCTTGTATATAGCTCAGCTAACTAGCTATATAATCAAGCAGAATGAACCTAGACAAAGCAGCAGAGGGCTCAGAGCGCAGGATTAACAAAGCATAAAGCACCAAGTAACAAAGGAGCAACAGTGCTGGTGAGACACATTTCTAACTGAAACCAGTACTATACTCCACAGTCAGTAGTAAATGTAAAACGAGTCTAAACTGACAAAGGAGGAAGTATGATTATACTCACTATCAATTCATCAGGGGCCTCTCATAATATACCCTGGTCTTAGTTAGCTTAGCCGGAATAAAAAATGTTACGGGTTGGGCACTCCTTGTGTATAGCATAGTGGTAAACCCATCGTAGAACGACTATGCATTGCTTTGACAAATGGCACAATGCTTCGCCTACAAAACTTTTCTCTTCCCAGAAATTTTTCTCTGTATAGTAAATGTCTAGAGTGGGTGCTAGCTTACTTCTCCAGTTCCGGTGAGTGTAATCTGTTTAGTGGTATGTCCGTCGACAACAATCTCCTTAGGATCGTGGAACACTACACTACCACCCTGTGGAGAGAGAGAGGGAGAGAGAGAGAGAGATGATAAAATTGTGCAGATGTTGTTTAGCCAAAGTTCTCGTTAAAGTAGTTTATTTTTCATTCTGGCTAGTTTATTACCGATAATGAGGCCAGGCCAGCCAAATGAACGGGTGTCTAAGAAAACATCCGACTTTTCTCAGCCAAGCAAATGGCCCATTATGAAAAACAGCAGCATAGAGTTAAAGAAAATAGCCACAAAGGCGTTACCCTATCTAAGTACTGTAGTAAAATTTGCCACTCAAACTACAGTGAAACGTACACTTCAATTCTACTGGGACACTACAAAGACCAGAGTGGCTATGTAGTAAGCTACACCCCCCCTCTTAGCACCCCCCACCCCACTCCCACACTACACTAAGGCAGCCTCCTTCCAAGGATTGAGGTTACACATGTATAGGAAGCTTCTCTTCCAGGTAAATGGCCAGTAAAGGAGCTCCTAGATTGTGTGAAAGGTGCTGTTGCAATCTTCATTCCAGGAGCTCCTTATCTTGACAACTGCCACAATAGAAGCCACTCACCCTACAATGCTCAGCCCACACACTCCACAATGCCGAGTGGTCTAGTCTGAACCACTCCTTCTTTGGTGACAGAATCAAATCCCAGCCTTTCATTTCTACCAAGCAAATCCTACGTTACGCAACGAAGTACGGTAGAGATGGGAGGCAGGTAAGTACATGTGTGCAGGTGCAACATTGTTTTCCTTCCAAGTATAGTTTGAGCTGCACGAGTGCCTAATAGGTTATTGGTGTTCAGGTGTTTCAAAGCAAAAGCGGTACACACAACTGTTGTTTCATGCAGTAAAAAAAGCACACGAGAAACGATGGTAAACAGTGGACTTGCCTTGTTGTCTCCATCCACTGTGGTCCAGGGAGGAGTCAGGGGTATAGAGGAGAGAGAAAGAGAAGATGGTTAAAAAAATTCATGCACTGAGCAGAACATATCAACAGCAAAGAATACCGCAATACAGACATCACATTCAGGCCTAGCCACGCCATGCCACGCGGGAGTGACTTCGATATGCAGCCGCTTAGCTCAGCAGCTAGCTGCAGGCGGCGTAGCCTGGTAGACGAAAGAAATAAAGACAGCTGCTCTGTCACTCACACTTGCTCTCCACAAAAGTGGCGGAGTAGTAGGAGGCGGGTCTTCTTCCGCTGCCTTCGCTGGGTGCCGCGAGGTTGTTAGCTACGCTCACTGACATGGCGGTCGACAAATAGAGCTCGGAAATATCTCTGAAAAGGCGGATCTCTTTTCTCACACAGATACACGAAAAGTTGCGGCCAAACTGGCGGGAGAGGCTTTTATAGCGCGCGGCGACGCCGTACGTCACACGTGTAGAAACTTCCTGAACTACAGGAAGTTATTACCGCGCGCGCATGCGCAGTTCCCCCGAGAACACCAGCTAGAATTCGGAGTAAAGAGGAAAAGTGGAGTGCAGGAGTAATGCCCACATAAGGCAACGGCAGAAACCTTGGCAAGATGAGGAAAAAGCTGTTTTCTTCCTGATGGCCTCTGTACTGTTGCGGCCTATAGTAGCTATCCAAGGAATGGTGTAATGAAATGCCCCATGAAGCTAAGCACGCGCGCGTGCACCGCACACACCAAGGAAAACAATGTTGCACCTGCACACAGTGTATGTATATCTTACACTTCCACAATGAATGTATATGCAGAGTGAACGTATGTAAATGCTCCCATATTTACACACACATCAAAGCAGAATTTAGTGTAAGCAGTTACAAATACAAGTGCATAACACACGTGTCTTTGCAAGGAATTTTCAAACATTTCCATTTCTTATCACAGTGATTCTCCATAATGGATGAATAGCACTGATGGTGGTTATTTTAGCCTGACACCTGCACTTAAACTGATGCCACTATCTCTTTCGAAAACTGTAATGTCCGGAAAAACTGCTATCCACTGTGACAAACAGGTAAAAGGCTAACTTCAAATACAGCGGGTTTTAAGGCAGTATGTCTTTAGACAGAGCTTATTGAAGGAAGAAACGTCTCACTTTTCGCCATTTGAGAACAATCCACGTAATTTTTCACCCAAAAGCATTAACTAAGGAACTGTAAAAAAATATCAGAGTTTCCCACAGCACGGTAGAAGCACCGATACACAAAAATAGTTGACAAATGAAACGATGACATTGGCCAACACAGGTAACCACAGCCTAGTCAAAGTAAATAGAACACAAAGGTACGCCCATAAAAGGAAATGTCTTTGTCACCATACAAGTAACACATGACGTACATGAAACTCCACCCACGTATTACATGAAACTCCGCCCATTTTCCTAACCTGGAGATGATGGAGTAGGAGGATTATGCTTCTTGCCGCCCTTAGGCTGTAAAAACAATGGTGTAATGTGTATTCATAAACCTCAATCATAAGTATACAACACAAATAGTTATGACATCACAGGCAGGTGTACATGTAATGTATGTAAATATACATGAACACGATGTCAATATGTTTTGGTTGAAAGACTCATTAACGACGGAAAGTGAATCTTACTGGCTTTTTGCCACCAGACCCTCTCTTCTTGGACTTGGGATTCGCTGAATGAGAGAGAGAGGAGATGGAAGAAAGAGAGAGAGAGAGAGAGAAGTAGTAGAGGGGGAGGAGGAGGAGGAGAGGGAGTAATAAAAAAAAGATGCACCCAATATATCACCCACTCACCAGAATCTTCCTGTTAGCAGCACATGTGGGGGAGAGAGAAGACGACAGTATCCAATTAATGCACACCACCAGAGCTAACCTTGATCGGGACTCTCATGACCACACCCCCTACTACCTGTGTCCTGTACGCCACCCTGGAACAGATGTACAAAGGTCAAAAGATCGCAAAACTTTTCGTTTCAGTTTTGTGTAGGTTCTATCACTCACTGAAGCACTGGCTTCTGCCCATCGGATTCCTACAGAAGAAACTTCATGACCATAATTTGTGAAGATTGTGTATGCAGTACCTTTGATCTGATGGAGTCCTGGTCACTGGATACTCTCTGTAGCAGTGCCTCATATGATGGGTGTCCTGCAGAAAGGGACATGATATGTCACACTCTTCTTTCTTTGTCCTACCCTCTCGTATACACTAACTATTCCTCCAGTGATGAGGTCCACCATCGGTCTCCTCCATATTATCAGACAATCTCCTGGCCCCGCCCACTGCCCCGCCCACCCCGTTACCATCCAGGAGAGGGTTACTAGCCGTTCGCTGGAGATCCTTCCGAAGCATTGGAACCACGTCGGGACTGCTGATATCGGAATCTGACTCGGCACTCATGCTGGGTTGCCGGATTCGATCGAGACTGTTACTGCTGCTCCCGGCCAGGCAGTCTATACTGTCACATGACTCCTCTGCAGCAATCCCATTGGTGGGTTCCTCGTCTGGTTGAGTGTACCCTTCGTCAGGTTGGGGGTACCCTTCGTCAATTTCCTCCGAGTCAGCCTTTTCTTCCTGAGCGTGGAGCAGCCCAGCCTTCATGATCAGAACTATCTCTGAACCACTGGCTACCAGCAGCGTTACCACTGACAGGACCTCCCACCCGACCTAACGAACAGGGGCAGAGGGGGGAGCGAGGGGAAGGGGGAAGTTTGAGAGAAAAACATCTATACACAAATATTCTATACGTTTAAGGAGAATAATGTCTAACGTTGCCATTAGCTGTGAAACAGTGATGTAATAGTGATGTAATAGTGATGTAATGTCTCGCATTTTGTTGGCAAAACTGGACGTGTATGATCTTTAGAGAAACAAAATTTTGCGGATAATGACTTGTTTGCCAATGCTGGCAGTATACGGAAGGTGTTACCACTTAACCAGCCACAGACACATAAATGTGTCACCACCCTCCATAAGTCCATAAGAATTTATATGGGGGTTATAATACTAGGCGTTAACACTTTATACATCAATTTCTGCTTAGAGCAGATGCCCATGGCGTCCAAAGGGTTATTAAGTGTCTTACCACATTCTGGGAGTTGATCTGAACCAGTTCATCTCCCAGTCTTATCTTGCCACACTCGGAAGCAGGACTCTGTATTATGGAGTGTGAGACGGTTAATATTTTGACAACGTGAAACTAATGTGGTGAAAACTGCGACTCATAATCCAGCTATTTACAAACTTTAGCGGACACTAAAATTTGACTATGTGAATCAATCCATTGACATTGTTTTCAAACTTCACACAAATGTACTTAAACGTACCTCAGGACGAATCTTGTTTACAACCAGATTTCCCTGTTTTGTTCTCGTGAGTGACATGCCCTGAGAGAGTGACATCATCATTACATCACCGGGTATATATATATATATATACAGCAATTCAAATTCAAACTGACCAATCCCTTCTCGGGAGAAGGTGTGAGGAGAATGATGTGTAGTTTGATTGGTTCGACGGCGGCAAAGTTCTCGGGAGACATAAAAACCTGAGTCTGCTTCAAAATTCTCCGACACTGGAGTAAAATTGTAGACCACCCACTAAAATTTTACTGACCGAGTTCAGAGCATTAGTATTTTAATGTACAGTCTAGTAGGTCTGGTGTAAGAGTTGTTTGGTGTGGCCAACTCACTGCTTCCAGCATTTTCTGTTCATCAAATTCTTCCTGTAGCTGTAGGATAACATATAGCAAGAGTAATTAGAGATGAAAAACGAACAAGAAATTCACTCGGAGTAGCAGAATTGGCAAAACAAGGGGCCAAAAGTGGGAGTGAGTGATAATGGGGAAGAAAGGGAGGAGCGGCGAGCGAGATAGGAGGAAGAGATTGTACAGTGGTAAAATTGAGCTTTTGCGATTCAGCAGCCATGAATATGTCTTTCACGGATTACTTAACCTACTTATCAACAAAAGGTTTTCGCCAACAACTTATGCAAGAAAATATAATTTCTCCCTCCAAAATTTCCTGCTATAAAGTTGATTATTGTACTCACTGGTATGCTATGTATATTTATACATAAAAGTTTTCTATCTGATGGGTATTGTATGTATGTCACTCACTGGTATTGTAGAAAGTTCGAGAGCGTCCTTCAGAATGACCTGGCGGAACTCGTCGTAGTCCAGGACCAGGTTGGTGGAGTTCCGGTCCAACCAGTTGATGAGACTGCGCGCTGCCGTCATGACGTCCGCCGCCACGTCAACCTGGGACAGTTCCAGGATTCCGGCGGTGATCTCGGAACCGGACCTGGTTGCCGACGGCGACGACCGCTGGTAGGAGGGGTCGAGGGTCGTGATGAGTTGGGAGGCCTTCTTGGAGAGAGTGCTGACTAGACTCATGGTGGGGTTCTGGGAGCAGCTCAGGTCCTGAAAGGGGTTAATTTGTCCAGTGTAATATTTTCGTCGTGGAATAAGTTATACTCGTGCATTTAGATATTCTTTATCATTTGTGAAGTTGGTAAATTTATACACGGGCATGCTAAGAGGGATTCACAATTCTAAGTAATCTGTTGGTTTTACATACTTGGAATACTAAGGACAAACCTGGTCACTACCTTAGTATACTTCCGGACATTATCAGTAAATCTCAGGATACTACTAGTAATCTTCAGTATACTACTCTAAAATTGACCTACGTACCAACGCCGATAGTCTCTCGACAGCCTCCAGTAATAGCTCCTGATGACCCAGTTGATTAACCTGTTGGTGGAAAGTAACAGGTGAGTAAGGGAGAAGGGAGAGAGGGAATGACGGAACTGGTATAGGCTAGGTTCGCGCATTGCCCTGTCGCGAGGATAGAATCCATTTCTATCTTTGCGGCACGATGCTACGTGGCATGGCGCGACAGGGCAATGCGATGTGTTGTGTTCAGCGTAGAGTAGCTCAGAATCCTCTTTCTTCTATGCCTCAGAAGCACAATGCTACGGTATTTCTACCTATAAACAAGGAAAAGAGGATTCTGTGGACAGCAGCCTTCCCAAAGCTCTCATATTTGGGGCATCAATACACGAAATGTAAATAACCCGCTGCACTGAGGTGAGCGTGTGCTTATATACTTTGAGGTATTCCAGCTGTTGCTTGTTGAGTTTCAGGAGGTCTGAGCCACAGATGCTGTGGGCCTTGAATTGTGCCACGTGTAAGGAGAGACATTCTCCTAGACCTGGGGGGAGGGATGAGGGAGAGGGGGAGAAGCAGGGGGGCAAGAAGGGAGGGAGAAGGAAGAGAGGAAGAGATGATGGGGGCCAAGAAGAGAGGGGGAGAAGCAGGGGGGCAAGAAGGGAGGGAGAAGGAAGAGAGGAAGAGATGATGGGGGCCAAGAAGAGAGGGGGAGACGGGGGCAAAAGGGAGGGAGAGGAAGAGGAAGGATTGGGGGCCAAGAAGAGAGGGGGAGAGGGAGGGAGGGAGGAAGAAGAGAGAGACAATAATCCTAGATAAGGAGAGTCCCTATGCATGGCCACAGTGTGGGCACATACTCCATAATTATTAGTCCCTCCAGTCTCTATAGTGTGTGCACCTAGTGTTTTCACTATGACTCTTAAACAAATGGGAGACTGAACATAAATAGGTGCCCCCATCCCCTGACACCACAAGCACAATATTATTGTGTCACATCAGTAAAGGGGCACTTACCTATGCATCACTTAGCAGTGCAAGTATGCTGCAAGTATGCACACATCTATCATAATGTACTCAGTCACTATTGGCTAATGCACAAACATATATTTTGTATGATTTCAATAACTTCTGGAGTTTCAAAACTTGCAGACGATCAAAAACACGCTCCCCCCCTTTCATCCGATATTTGCAAACACCTGAGTTTTGCTAACGCCATTAAGATAAAAGCACAGAGGCAAAAGTAAGCAAGAGGCGTAACAGCATATGCGGCACTACAAAAGGCCCCAGAATTATGAAATCACAACAGATTCTGTTGTCGAGAAAGAATAACGCGGGGATCGGTAGTACTATGCCCCCACGAATCCTTTCACGGCACACCCTATTAGGAAAAGTACACTGTGCTCTCACTGAATAGTGCGTCTGCAAAAAATAACTTTGCAGAGACCAGAGCACTTGTGCTAATGACTTGTGGACAGAGACAGGTGGAGGAGATGGGGATACGGATGGCATATTACTGCATGTGGAAATACATGCAATATATATAACAGGGCCCATTTGTTATGATTTTTTTACCGTGTCAGTTACTGAAAACCACGTGGATTTTCCATTTTTCTCCACGTGTGTTGGTTGTTACAGACTATAAACATCTCAGAGTGCTTGCTCTCTTAAAACACAGTAGCAAAATCTACCCGCACAGCATATATAGCCACACAGCAATATTGGCACTGAGCCTGCTTAGTGGTGCTGCAAGGGGGGTGGTAGAGAGGGAAGCAATAGGGAAGTTTTAACGACGTGATTTGGACAGGAAAAGCACCGTCATTAGCAGCTATGTAGACAGGTACACTGATATGGTGCCAAGAATTGCTCCAAATAGCATTGTGGCCCAGTGTCTCCTGCTATTCACTTTCGGAATTGCTCATCAGTCACAATTATAGTTCTTACTATTGTGGTCTTTGCTCAATCGCTTGTCCCAAACACCCACAATTTCAAATCAAGGAGTTTCCCATTTTCCAGTGAATTACATAATATTATAAAACTCCCCATAATTATAAACCATTACTACTTGGGAATAATAATTATTTATACACAACTACTCTTGTGTATATTTCATGCCCCTACAGGTATGTAAAATTCATCGACAACATTTTCGATGGAGATGTTTGGTAAAACTGTTTAATCCCCACCGATTAGGGAAACGATGCAAGATACGACGTACTAGTAATAAAATGGGGTTTTGGTGCTCTGGATACATTGTGAAAGAGACGGCATACAAGCTATCTATTCCTCATTGTTGCAACTCTGTGCTTGGTCATAAATATATTGCTGGGTGTTGTTTGGGGAAAACTTCAGTGTTTTGGCAAAATAGCATGTGTATGTAGTCAAAAGCAGAATCAGATATTCATTGTGCATACGTAGCTGTTGTGCATTCCCCAGTGCTTCCACTGGCCACCAGAGATTTGTACTCCATAACATAGCCAACGGGTGACCTACAAAGCTACGAGCGCCCGCGCTAGACAAATCAGATGTGAGATTTACAAATGGAGCACACTCTAACTGGCATTAGTCGAGCTGGCACAGTCTGGGACACATGTAGGCACGAGCTAGCTGAGCCAATGGGCGTACTAACGACCCTACACCACCTAACTGCACCGGCCAGCCAAATCGCTTCAATTGTGCGGCATTGAACGATCATAGCCTCTTATTGCGCCACACTATTCCCACAAGACATGATGTTCTACACGACACATGCCAAGCATTTATCCCCCCCTCCCTTTGAATGCAAGACTTCGAGAGAATTTCCGTAACACGATTGGGGAAGCAAAGATCAAGTTACGGGACAAGGTCGTGTCGTTTGGGACAAAAGTGGGCTGGGTTAGGGCAGTCCAAAACGTTTAGCTACCGTGGTAAAGTTACCACCAAGTAATGTTATTTGTTGTTGCCTTAACTTCCATAATAAAGCCACGTGCACTAATTCTAAACTGGGTGTGAGTATAATTTATAAGGCAGGGATTACGAGGCGGCAAAGGCTTGGAATGGACACTGTTGACGCAAAACAAGTAGCAAAAGTTTTGAAAACCTCTCCAACCACATCTGTTAGCTTCTGCAGGATGGCTCACTATAGCAGCCGCTCTGTATGTGCCTTGATCATATAAGGCCTGTACCCAGAGGAAAATATCCAGGGTCCTGCATATAAGTCACTCTCTCTGTGTGGCCTAGTGAGCAGTCACATGATCACTAGGAGTAATTCGATTGGTTGTTTCTTACTTCCTGTAGACCTTTATCATCATGTAAAGAGGAATGCGAGCTAAAGTGGTAGGGATAGCGGAGGGTTCTTGTACAGAAAGCTGGCCATTATTGAGTCTATGAGACGACGTGTATGAGCGGCTGAAACCTGTCGCTGCCTCGGAAATGTTATTGCTGGTGCCTAGACCAAACTGGCCAAGCCACACACACGCACACAAAACTGCAATAGGCCTATTCGTGTCAGTGCTTTGTCGACGTGTGTCGTTTCACATATACACACGCGACGTCGACGTGCAAGCGGAGCTCAACGCGATCCTCCGTCCTCTATGAAACACACAGAGTAGCATAAGCGGCCTTTATCGTTCACCTTGTATCCACGCCACCACGTCATCCGTATCCCAAGTAGCCACGGGTTTGTACATACTGGTGGCTCTCTCCATGTTCTCTATCTTCCCTCGCCGCGTCTCCTTTACTACTGATGGCGCTGCTGCTGAGATGCGCTGGATCGAGTCGCGCATTCCATGCAGGCCGGCTGCGAGCGCATGTGGGCGTGTCCGACCACCCCCCCCCGAGGGTGGGTCTAAAAATTACGTCATTGCAATTTACATTACCAGCAGTCATGGGGTCTGTTTATCTGTTGTCGGTCACGACGACCGTGCATTCATGACCTCTTTACCACCTAGTTGACAGTCTGCTGCTGCCGCACAGGAGCTCAGAAGAGAAGCAGGGGGAAATGATAACGATCGGGCCTCAACGGATCCACCACTCGCCATTCGCGCCTCTCACGGCCCGCCCTGCACCGAGATCTCAGCCCAGCAACAAGCGCCCTCATCCAGCGGCCTCGCTCGACCAGCAGCAGTCCGCGGAAGCCGGAGCAATGAGCAGTAGGAGCCACCAAAACGGTCGAAACAACGGCAGGAGAAGCAACGGTTCGGTTAGTGCAAGAACAATGGACGGCGGCGGAGCGTGCCCGCCGCGGTTCGAGCGGACCGTGAGGGAGGAGAGAAGACAGTCGGGAAGCGGCATGCAGACCATGCAACAGCACCAGCACCGAGAAGGAGGAGGAGGGAGCAGCGCGGAGCCTCGAAACACTGAACAAAAGTCGCGCAGTCTCGCTACCCCTCCGGCGGTCTTGGACGGCGGCTCTGCAGCGGCAGCGCTCTCGGAGAATGGGCGGGAAAGTCGCTCATCCGTCTCGGAGAGCAGTGGGAGCGGGAGACGCCAGCCCCAGCCGTCTCAGAGGCAGCAGTACAGCACAAGGTATATACCTCTCAAAAAGAGAGCTGTGTGCGTGCACTTCTCTAACAAAAGACGTGAAAGGCGCCGAGCGTACTTGGATGCACGTGTGTGTCTACGCTGCACTATAGGAGTTACCTACCGAAGAACTCATCGTGTTAGGGCCCCTCACCTATCAGCTGTGTGCTCTAGTGACAGGACTATGATGCTGGCAACTATGGCTTTCTCACTGTGCAGCTCTCTGTACAATGGAACCCTAGGGAAAGAAATGTTAGGTGACTCAAGGATTGTGGGAACGCACCATGGGGTTGATTTAGTCTTGGGTTACTGTTTAGTAGCTGCTCATCTAGCCTGTTTATGTTTGCTTTTTAGACTGTCATTTGATAACCCCTCTTTTCCCCAATGTCAACCAACTTTCCCCTCTCTCCCCCTCTCTTTCCCCCTCTCTCCCTCCATCCTCCAATATCTCCACTCACAGAAGGTGGACCAAGGGAGCTGGTGGAGGAAGCTCAAGTGGATCAGGCCCAAATTCACCAAGACAACCAGGAGGCAGGCCTGGCAGGTAAAACCTGTTTGTTGTTAACTAATTTGATCTTAACAATGCCAATGCCCCCTTCATCAGTGAATTTAACAGTGTTGGCTTTGTTTCCGACTCAATTTGTGCCGCTATTCATGAATTTTCATTGAAACAATTTTTTTATTAAAGAGGAAGCTTGTGTGTCGATGTGTTTTTTATTGGAAGAATTTTGGCTTATTTTCTCTGGGGTTTTCGGTATATAAAGTAGTACTCTCCGCAGTACAGAGTATGGAAGCCTTATGTATGTCGTGGACAGTTAGAGACGCATGTTGTTTGCGAACGAACATGTACACACAAACAGAACACGTCTACAAAACAGACTAGACGCATGTGTGTATAGTACAGTAACTGTATGTTGTAAGGAGCTGTATGTAATTTTTTTGTAATTTTCGTAGGCATTATAGTTCATTGAACGTGCTTGCAAGTTGACCTTGATCAACCAGGCCTATTTGTCCTGCGCAATTATTATGTATGGACAAGCACTCTATAAGTTTTTTATGCTGGCGTAAATTATATTGCTAGTTAGTAGTTTGTGCAGGCAGAGAAATAATATGTGTGGAATACTGTGCACATGAGGTGTACTAAAAAATGCGAAAACAAGCACAAATTTGGTGTTGTATATAGCTTCAGTGAAAGAGATGCTAAGATAGATACTTATATGGATCTTTCCAGGCTTGAAAGGTGAGTGAAGCCAGCTCTGAAGGCTTCCATTAGTGGGTACCATATGGAGTGTGGGTAGTGGAACAGGTGAACTGACTGACCCTTCAAAGCTATTAGTTTCTCAACTAAATCCTTTAGATCTGTGCACTTGTTGGGAAAATTACACCGATACTTGACTCTTTGAATGGTGTATGTATTAGAGAGTTGAAAGGTGAATTACGGCAAGAATTCGCCTACTGATTATGTATTACCTCATTATATGGAGGGTTAAATAGTGACCGTGTCTGTGAGTGTGTTAATTACCTCCTCCCCTTCATTTATGAGCCATATTATCCCCATTGTGGGTGCCAGTGTGCCTTTGCTGAGGGAAATATACTCCCCACTCCCTGTCTCACACAAAATATTCCTTTCTCTGAACTCTGTGAAGAAGTTCATAGTCTAACAGGTGTTGTTTTGTGTCCATATTTTGTTTTAAGAAATGTGGTTTTTGTTTGCCTAATGGTAGTTCTCGTGACACATATATACACCCAGATCCACCACGTGTAAAATGTGTTTATTGTGTGGTAAAAATATGCTTTAGTGCTAATTATCGCAGTACATAGTAGACACACAATAGAGTGTAGTCAGTCGTACATACATGTACATTTTGGGGTTTGTAAATATGGTGGTGGTGGTTTTTATTTATTTCTCTATCTATCTATCTATATACCTATGGCTGGTATGCTATGAACTATAATTTCATGCATGCATGTGTAGCCTTACTATGCAAGCAATAGAACGTTGCATGTCGTGTGATGTTTTGGCCAATGTTGCGTGTGTGTGTGTGTGTGTGTGTGTGTGTGTGTGTAATGCTCGCCCTAGTCATAGCAGTGTGGGCTAATGGGACGTACATAGGTATGAGGGTAGGGCTGGTGGCATATGCCAGAGGTTAGGGGAGGTTCGTGTGTCCAAGATTTCAATGGGAGTCTCGTGGGTCAGCGTAAACTGTATGTGATCACTTCCTATTGCGTGGTCGGTTTTGGTGGCCGTCGGGCAAGGTTGGTGACTGTTTCTGCCAAATTCAGACGGAACGTGTCGTGTTGTCTTGGGGCCAACTACCCGCACTTCTGTGTACTCGTGTATATTATGACATGTCAAACTACCCAACCCTCTGCTCCCTCTCTCTCTTCTTCCTCTTCTCTCCCCTTTCTTCCCCTCTCCCATTTGCTTCTCACTCCCAATTCTTTTTGTTGAATCAATCACAATGCCCCTATGTTTTAAGGTCTAATACATACACTCTAGTACTGTATATAAACGCTTTGAACACAGCAAAAGTCAAAAGAAGCCTCAATCTTTGGTGTCGCAGTAAAAGTCGCTGCCATTATAACTTTGCAACGGCAGTGTAATTGAAAGTGGTGCAGTAAGGAAGGTAGCCATTGGGCCAAACGAATGAAAGGAACTCCAGTCACTCCCTCGCTCTCTCATGCACAACTGAATAGCTTCAAACAGTTTCCGTGTCCGCCCAAACCCAAACCAGCAACACGCAATGCAAACCAACAGTCTCTTGCATATACCCACTCCCTGTGTTACATCACAGTGGTGGTCCCTCTATATATCTTATGTACACAGTCCCTCTATATACTTATGTATATACACAGTCCCTCTATATATCTTATGTATATACACAGTCCTCTCTATATATTATTGCAGTCTCTTTTATATACCCCTCTGTATTATGTATCTACTATCCCACTGCTGTATATATATATATACAAATTGTAGTCTGTTTACTTCATTTATACACCACGCTAATGGATGAACAGTTATCTAATGAGAGAGTGACACTAAAAGTCCATAAACCTAGTAACTGCCACACCCATCATGTATACATAATATATGTAGTACACAGCTACACAGACACGCGGGCACGGCAGACACAGCCATAATGAAGCACTAAAACAATAGAGATCTAATTATGCTCTAATTCAGGATTGAGTAGTCTGAATTATGTCTAGCCGCCACCTAGACCTCCTTCCTCCAGCGATTCAGCTCTCACCATAACATGAGAGGGAAATCCTAACATGGAACTATATACCACATGATATGACTGTTCTTTTGCTTCCATAATTAGTATATACCCACTCTGAAAAGAAGGCTATCCCAAAATGTACTAATGCGAACTATGCGAACTAATGGACTATATATTTTGCACTAATACATTTAGTGCACACGCTGGCTATGCACTATATATAGTGTGCGCACTTGTGCACGTGTGTATCATATATGTCAGTGTACTTGTGCTGTGCAAATTGTGTCAAACTGTTGATGGTGTTTCGTGCCCCAGTGTGCTTCTTTAGGCAGCAAAGTTCAACTACAAATTATCATGGATGGGCTTGGTGTTATTATGTAGTGGTACGTATGT